TCTCTCCCTCGTTCTCTCTTCCTGCGCCGTTACGTCCTCTTCACCCACGCCGTTACGTTCTCCTCGTCGTCCTGCCTCGTCGACTTTCGCCCCGGGAGTGGATTGACACCCGTAGGGGCGGATGCAACGACGGCGTTCGCGATTCGATCTGCCGCAATAAAATTATATCCCTCCTTCTCTCCCTCCCTCCTTCCCGACCGTGACGATCCTGTCCGCTGCAAGTCTCTGAACGACGCGCCACGAGTGCGAGGTGTGCCCCTCGATCGCTCGGAATTATGTATTTTCCGTAAGATTGTGCACCATCCGTCGACTGTGTTTCGTAACTCGAAAGCTGAGACTGAGTAACACGGTTTTCGGAAAACAAAACTGTTCGATCGATCAGGAAACATACACGGACAATTGTTATTCAACCGTTGTTTTTTTTCTAAACGCATTTTCCTGGAAATCTTTCTCACATTTGCGTGCGAAATTCATTACGACGCGCAAAGATCAACTCTCAACGCAAATAACGCGCAGCATGCACACCGCCGGGATAAATAATCGTTCCTTGATACTTTCGCGGGTTCGCGAGGCGATAAAAAAGGGCTTCTTGATGTGTTTTTCTCTCTTTTTCTCCGCTCGCTACCTCCTCCTCTCATGCCTCATCTTTTCCCTCGTTCCTCTCTTCCCTCGTCCATCATTTTTCCTTTCTCTCTTTCTCTCTCTCTCTCTTTCTCCCCCTGCTTCTATCTCTTTTCTATCTTTTTACAATCTCCTTCCCCCCTTTTTCCATCTCTTTCCGTACTGTCTCTCTCCACTTCACCCCTCCGAACGAAGGAGGGAGAAACCGGCGCTGATAACGATTTGATGTATGGCCCAGTGATGTCACTAGTCGGCGGGCAAACTCCCCTTTTCCCTCGCGCAACGAGGAACAGATTACATGGGTCGATAGGATTACCGGCGAAGGAAAGTCGAAAGCACGAAATTTTTGCCCGAAAAATCCTTCAGTTTGATATTCTACTTTTTTCTATTCAATTCACATATCACTGATATAAAACCACTTTAAACAACATACTAGACAAATATCTATTTCAAAAAATCAACTGTATTATATAAACACGTATTTAAAAGACTCATTTTTTCGAAATAAATCAATATTTGCATAAACATATTTTATTTTCAACACAATATTTCTATTCTTATATAAATCACTCTTTCTTTAATTATAATTAATAATCAATAATATTGTTTTAATAAAAAAAGACATAAGAATATTGCAAATCAACATAATATGAAACTAGCACATTTCATTTATTTAACTTCAAAGGCTTCTATGGAACATTTTACATCTCGCGTGATTAATTAATTATTTACATAATTAGTATCACGAAAAAATATTTGCTAATAATCATTTTTTCTCAATTTTCTTTAGAAATATGATTACCGTGCTATTGCGAGGAGTTAATCATCAGAGAGAAAAGAACAGGATCGTGACGTGACAACAGTTTCCGCGTTTCTATCAAACCGCTCGATCATTTCGCCACGTAATAATACGTACCTATGTTTCCAAGTATCTGCGACAAACTGCGGGGGCCGCGATTCTTGTTTAGGTCTGAGCCTCGTAATACACCGACCGGATGCCGACGAGTATAGAGAGCGAGAGCGAGAGCGGGCGGGTGATTTAGTAAGATGAAAAGCTACGCCCCCGGGCTTCCCCGGCGGCGTTATCTAGCATAGACAGAGATTGCCTGTTCCTTACAAAACTCTACTGGCGGGCAACGCATCCGGAGCATCTTTCCCCACTTCTCGAAGCCGCTTCGTTCGTGGAAAAGCCCGGTTCGTTTCGACCAAAAATCGAATCTCGAAAGAATCGAATTGAATTGACTCTAGCCGTTCCGATCTCGCGTTTCTTCATCCGAAAAAAAATTGTGTTTTGCTCTTTAAATCAACGAAGAAGAAAATCCTGCATAATAACGAACTTCCTTTTTGTACTAATTATATTTCTCGGTAGAAAAATTTTAATTCAAGTATAGAATCTGACTTCTTAATTATGCGCCGTGCATATGAAGCTTCTAAAGGAAATACACTTCTTGTTGTGTAACGTCGTAGTCATCGCTGATCCTTGATCGATAACGCTATTAATTGCATTTACGAGGCGTTACCAGACAAGATAAACGGCTCCACTGAAGTCTTCACCAATGTATAAGGCTTCTTTGCCCGCTTATCTGCGTGTAGAACGCAAAACTATTGATTCACGCAAAAGTCAACAGCATACGTTGCAGAAGTGAAGACTGGGAGCTGAATTATCGAGTGTAAAAACGCGAACGGAAGCAGCGGGAACATCGCGATAGATGAATCAATTAAAGCCGCGGGAGCTATGTGAGATCGTGCAAAAAGCTCTGCGCGCTATTACGTATTTCATAATAACAGCAGCTGTTATTGCCTTCTAATAGTCCGAGTAATTAATTTAATAAGCTTTGTAAATAATGCAACTGCTTATAGAGCTTGAAATCTACAAAGATATATATTTACTATCAGTCAATTCTATGTTCCATTCAAAACATTCAGTGGATTATAAAAAAGACTTTGAAAGACGCAAAGATTTTTAAAATAATATGCTATATCAAAAAATCAAATCCGCATAGAGAATTTGGGAACAATATTATATATTTATTTGTGTAATTCGAAAAAATTTTATTTCTAACATTCTAATTTCTCAAGTTTTCAATTGTTCGATGCTCCCGCTTATGTGGCGTGCTTTATATCGGCATATTAAATCTTCTAATATACGAAACATATATTAAATCTTTTAACACACGCATATTAGATTTTTTTCGAGCCGCTTGAGCGAAACGTTAAATTTTCGTAAACGGTCCTGCTAACGACTGGAAGAATGGAAAAACTTTTCCGACGCGGGGGAGTTAAAAAATAGGTGGACACGGGGCCGGGAACGATAGTGAGATTCTTCGCGGGAAAGAGAGAAGACAAGGAAAAGTATGGCGAGAGTGAAGATGGAAGAAAGGGGAGGATCGTTGTGAAAGAAGCTCGCGGCGCCAGCGGCACGTCATTCTTCGCGAGGAATTAAATTTTTATATCTTTTGCTGAGAGTTTGAGCGATAGGAAGGGGCTGCAAAAGTCGCTCGCTTGCACGACGGTAGACATTCGCCCGATGGGCGTTTTAATTCAAAAGTCGGATTGTGTCGCCTCCAACAATGTCAAGAAGCGCGAGTGAAAAGTCGGAAGCTACTATTCAATTTATGATAATGTCGCTCGACGAAATTTCTCTATCGTGCGTAGCGCGTCGTTATCGCGCGATAAAATGAGAACGCGAGTAGATTGTGTAATCCTTCGAATCCACTCTCACATATTTTGGTAGTATTGTGCAAAAAATATTGAGTTATTTTTAAAATCTTTATGTATCTTTATGTCCTTAGTCTTGCAATGAATTTTATTGCAAGATTAAATATATAGCAAAATAAAGTTAGTCAATATAAAGAATTGTATGCTTTTGTGTTCAACATTTGAAAAGTTTATTATTGTTTTTATTAGAAAACTCGAAATAATGCAAAAATCATTAGTATGCAATCCGTATTCTCCTATAAAATAATCTATTTTAATTATCCCGGCTTCCACGAGGATTTTACGCGTACAGCATAGTGACAAATGTTAGTATAATATATCACGAACTTTAGAAGACTTGCGCTTAGATAATATTAACACATTTGATTTAAATTATATGATATAATTTTAAAGTTGAAATATGAATTTTGAATTATAGCCGTTGTGCTATATCTGTTTATGCAGCTGTTTTTGTTGAAAAGTTTAATTTCCAACATTCTAATTTTTTTAATTTCACACACATATATCAAAGTATAAATAAATCATATATATTTTTTAATATGAAGATTAATTACTTGCATACAAAATATCTCGTATGTCGCCTATTTACATGAAAACTTATTCAACACAATTCTGATTCTCGATTTTATTTTTACAACTATCGAAATAGATCTTATCGCGGGGCAACGCTATAATCGTACACGAAGTAAAAAGAAAGAAGATTTCGCAGGAAAGGGTGGTCATTGTTAAATCTAAGGTCGAAAATAAAAGGAAAATGCGCGGGAAGATGCTCGTAAAACACGAGAACATAGACGAGGTCGAAGGACGACACGAGAGATGAGCACGCGGATGAGAAAAGGCGCAGCAAAAACGTCGAAGAAAGTCATAAACTACGTAATCCCTCGTAAAGTATGTACCTTATCCGGAAACTCTTTCGACGATAACTTATCCCATGAAAGAACCGAGTCGAATGAAAAAGGAAAACCACGCGAAACAACGTATTTAGGCTCTCCGACACAGAAGAACAAGTTTTGTAATCTAGATCTCGATTATCTTCGAGAAATGTAAAACATGGGAAAACAAAAAAGAAATGTATAAATAATTCAAATATTAAAAAGGACGATAAATGAAAGAAAAAAAAATATTTCGCATTTGTCGATATTTACCCGAATTTTTACTCGCGAATAAAATCATGAGATTGCATTGTAATTACGAAAGCTTCGAGATCGCCTTGTCGCAAGACCGAAGACAACAGCAAAGCCGTCGAATCGCGACGCGTAAGACGGGCTTAAGAGCTCGAAATTGGTTTCATCTACTGTCGCTTAAGGTGGAGCACGAGAGTCTGCTGGGGATCGATGCAGTAATTTCGGGTCGTGGCTTCCTCCGTCTTCTCCCCTGTGTCCCTTACCTCTCTCTTTCTCTCTCGCGCGCGAAACCGCCCTCTCGAAGCCGGGAATCGCCGGGAGAGAGCGGTGGAAAACGGGGGAAACGGGAGAGGAGAAGGAAACCATCAGATAGCTTTGGCCTTAATATCCCTCTCCGAGAGACCTCGGAGACGAGATCCTGGCACCCCTTATAGTCCTATCTGCGCTCGGTCCACCTAACTAACACGTATACACGAACGTTCGGACGGTCCGCGCGCGTATACGTATCCTACGTGTAATATAATGTTATTTACTCACACACATGTCGGCCGCTATCGGATTCGATCTTGAAGTTCCGCGGAATTCGGGAGAGTTGACGTGAGATTTAGGAGCCGGATGGAAACTGGTGTCGCTGTACTCACTGCGGCTCGCATATCGATTCTAAACAGAAAGAAAAAGAGTTAGTAAACAAGTACGCGCTGATGATGAATGAACAAGTGCGAAAGTAGCGTTGAACATGATGATCGCGAAGGGGCCTGAAGGATTGAAGATCGACGTCACGCGAAACGGCGAGCTAAATGTACCGAGTTCCTTTGCATAATTTATTCGGATCCCTCGTTAGATATGACGTCGAAAATAAGGACGCGCGGATTGTAAGCGCGGGTGAGATTTATCGCGTCGTCGCGAGATGTAAAAAAAGATCGAGTCGCGAAATATTCGCGAGAGAACTCGCATGCAAGGCTCAGCGATCACGCCTTATTGTGAGTTTCATCGATGCATCTCTGAACCGATGGAGAGAGAGAGAGAGAGAGAGAGAGAGAGAGAGAGAGAGAAAGTTTTGTGGTCAAGTCTTATCACAGGTAATTCTATTCACGAGAACTCGCATGTGAGTGCCGGAGACCTTAAGATTGTTCCATTCGGCCGTAACTTTCGCAGATTCTAATCGAGTGCGCGTAATTAGAGCGGGAGCAATTGTAGGTAATTAATTGGAGGCAAATTAATTAGTTCGGTCCGAGTACAAAGTGGAAAATCTCAATAATGCTCGTTCGCATCGATAACATGCGGCAATGCGTTATCTCGAAAAATTTTATCTCGGATCTGTTGATTCGAAAAATTTTATCTCGAATCTATTGGTTCGAAAAATTTTATCTCGAATCTATTGATTCGAAAAATTTTATCTCCAATCTATTGGTTCGAAAAATTTTATCTCGCATCTATTGATTCTCTCAGGAATAACGCTGAATAACGCTGAGACCTTTTTGTTTTATAAAAGTTCACAAAACTTTTGTTTCAAAATTTACAATTTGAATTAAAAGTAAAGCGAATAATTCATAAAATCTGTTTTAAATACGAATTTACACTAAAATGGATTTTCGTCAAACTTGATTTTCACTCTGCACATTTTCCGTGCTTTGTGATTCGGTATCTCTCAAAGACCATCTATATATAAATCGCCATAACGCACAACGAGGTAAACGTTAGCGTAAAAAAAAACGCTTTTGTCGCTTCTGCACGATAATCGCATTCTCTCATGAATCGCGGTCCGCGCCTCTTCATTTCGTACGCAAAGCATCGATCAAATTAATCCCCGCCTATCCTAGCGCGCTCGACGCATGCAAAACGATTTGTTTGCATATGTGGTTTTATCCGCATCTTCGATTGATACACGGCTAACGATAATCGTCATCGGCCTCTCTCTCATAGTGAATCATCTTTTTTCGTAGCGCGAATCTCTCCTTCCACATCTTGTTTGCCATTCAAATAGATTATAATGGATCCTATTTTAAACGCGAGCTTATGACATTTTCAAAAAAATCCAGATGGATCGAATTCATGCAAAATTTCTCAATATTATACGTTTTCTTTTTATATCATTGCAAATAATATTTTTATCGCGCATAACATTTTTTGCAGACAAAATATATAGTATAATACATGTTTTATAATTTTTAGATCACTAAAAAAAAAACGATTTGTATATTTAACAGCGCAAAGTTATCTCGAAATCAATATTCCAGTGAAATATGCGGTTAAATAAGTTGGATAAGACAAAATTATAAGTCGCTACGTAAAATTATAAGGTGACTTATATTTTACACGACACTCGATTTTCTCGTAATAATCATTCTTCCGCTGAGATAACGCCTGATAACCGCCGAGCTCATTTTCCGCGAGTTTAAGTCCGCAAGATCGGGTTAACGAGAGAACGGGCGCGTAGGCTGGTAGATGAAGGCAGCTTTGTAGAACGATATCGGTAAGTGGAAATCAGTGGCCGAGTGGCGCCTTGCCGACCTCCCTGTTTCCGTCTCTCTTCCTCGCGAGAAGCCCACCACCCTCGGAGCGTTTTGCACTCCTGGAACCGCGTCTACAACGCGAAGCGAGGGACTCGTTGTGATATACCGGGAACTCGCTAACTTCATTAAAACATCGCCATCAACACGAGGGCCATTGTTTTCGAGCGAACCTTCCTGTCCCCCTCTCCCTCACCCCCGCCACGCTAACCGGCCGATTAACCACCTCGACTCATCCGGGAATCAGCCACTGCGTCTTCTTTGTGCGTGCAAGCCGCGCAAGAAGCGCAATTCCTGCGAACTCGCTTCACCAAGCGGATCATCGCGCATCGATAGCCACCTTGAAGAGTACACATTCGCGATTGCAACTCTCTCTTCGCAGTACCAAAAATTTTTATCAAGTATACGACTTTACACGATGCTCCTTTCATTAATATATTTTCGACAACTCTGCGCACAATGGCGCGCCAATAATTATGTTATTTAGTTTCTAGCAGATTCACAAAGCCCCTGGAAGCCAAATTATTAAGATTCGTTTTTTCCTAACGATAAAATTATTTCTTAAAGCGTAAAATTGCTTTTGCTATCTTCAATAAATAAATTTGCCGCAAAGTCACATCTAAAATTCCAAAAAGATTTCGAAGGTTTTAAAATCAAAACTCATTGCTTGAGCAGCTAGTTATTTTTGCTTGCATTTGCGTGATTTATGTTCGCGAAATGTTCATTCCGACCGAGAGTTTTTCTCTGACGACGAAGACGATTAATGCCGGCGCGCATTTCGGATGGCTTTCGAGTATCGCCAACAACGAGCATCACCCGGCCCGTCGTTGCTTTGCACGCGGACGACAAAGGACTTCCCCTAATGAACGCGGTGCCGCGCTCGATTGACGGAGGACACGAGCCGACGACGGGGTCCGAACAGCACGGACATCCGCGCGTTGTTTTCGGCATAACACTTGCATTCGGTCTTTCGTCTCGTCTCATTTCGGCTCGCATCTCCTCACCGACCGGGCGCACGGACCACGCACGTCGTACGAGGAAGCGGTGGCGGCGGGCGGTCGGCCCGCGCGGGTTTTTTGCCACGGGTGTAATTGAGCCTGTCTCGTCTGACTACCGTCTAAATGAATTACGCGACGAGAAAGAGAGGGATATATAATGAAAAAGAAGCGGACGCGCTCGCACTCGCGCGCTTGCAAAGCAGAGACGCAAACTATCCGCGCGGATGCTTCGAGTCCAAGTACGATCCAGCGGCCACGATCGCTTTTTCTCGCTCCTTCGATTAATTTCCAGCATCCCGAGTATTCGACCCTTCCTCCCTTCTCTTCCGAAAAGAAACGATACATTGGAGCACTTATGTCAAACCGGCAATTCGAGGTATTCTTCATTCAGTTAATTTATTTTTTTTTAATTAATTTATAAAACAAAACTATTACTGCAAATAAATTTAAAACATGAACAATTTAGGCTATGGCTTTAAATCAATAAAAGCTCAAGTTTTAATCGCACTTTAAATTTTTATATTTTTTGCTTGCAATTTTAAAATGCTTCTTCATCTAGCATTCCCAATTTTTAGATTCTTGCATCTTGTAAACGAGAGAATGGGCTTCTACGCCTTCTTCTGCTACTGACAACGACGAACAACGACCGCGAGATACGTTACACGTTGACGGTTTGTTGAAACGCGTACGAGAAAAACGCTCGAGTGCGCTTTTTGCAGACAGGGCGTAATTACCGCTGTCTCGACCAACATGCAGACAGGCGAGCTGTGAGTCTAAAAGTGAATTATGAGGCGCCGCAGCCGCTGAAGAAGATGCAAACCGCCCGGTACGGAATTTTTTGCGAGCGAGAAGTAACTCAATCTTTCGTGACGCGTGCGACTAAATTGTTCGAGGATTTATTAACAGTGGAAAGCTAATTAAATGACAGAGATTGCATTTGTCAATTGTATCAATAGATATACGATTTTAGATTTTTGCAATGTTAATTAAAAAATCCATGTGATATTAATTCGACATGTTGTATCGGTTTACCTTATCCTTATTCCAAGTCGTTAAAAGAGAACGTTCATCGAAAGAAATGGTATAATATTACACACGCGGCCGATTCTGCAAGAGGCGTGCGGTAAGCTGGTTGCAATTAACGAAAGAACGAGGAAGTACGCCAAAGAACTCGCCGAGTTTATGAATCGCATGAACTTTTGCATGGTATGTCGCGAGATCAAAGATCGACCGCCGCTAAATGGTTACTGTCGCGGCTTGCAAGGCCAGTCTTGGTGTCTTGGTTCTTCTTAAAACATTTTCTATACGTATGATTTTATGTACTTCAAACATTCAATTAATTAACAAAAAAAATACATCGATATCTATGTACTAAAAATTAATGTAATATAGAATACTAATAAAAGTATAAGACATTTTTTATTAATTGCCTATTAAGATTATTTGTTGAAAAATTGAATAAAAATATAAAAGTGTGAAAAATAAAGAAATTTATTAATAAAAACATTATCTTAATTATCTTATGTTAATTAATTTATTTTGAATAAAGAAAAATACTTAGGTATGTAAAACTATAAAGAATTATCTTAATAAAGACATGTTAAGATTTTTCACTAATTATTTATCAAGATTATTTGTTGAAAACTTATATTGAATTACAGAAAAAAAAATGAGTAAAGAAAAATTATTATCAAAAAACTAAATATATTCAAGATAAATGTTTAGTAGATGTTAAAGACGAATAGTGAAATATTGAAGTAATAAAAATTGTGTACAAATTATAACAAATAGATAAAGTAATTTCTATTCATTATTGCATGATGTGTTCTTTATTTAATGAAATTGCATAATTTTTATTAATGAGAAAAAAAATAGCGTTGAAATCGAGCTTATCTTACCAATCAAGTACATTCTCTCTTGCAAAATGCTTTTCTACTTTATTCGTACTTTAAAATTTTTTTTAATTCTTAATTACTTTAATGATAATATAAATGTAAGTGTAATTGTATGTGTATGTATATGACCGCAATGTATAAGCTCAGGTGAGTTTGCTAAGTCCAAATGACTGTGCGATCAGTCATCCTTATGCCCTATCTACACCGAAGGATGATCCTGCTTGTGGCTCATCCGAGCGAGTAATGTAGACGCATTGAAACACATTGAAAATCACACTGAAGGCGAAAGTGATCGGATGAGCCACAAGCAGGATCATCCTTCGGTGTAGATAGGGCATTACGGAAAATTGCTTAAAATTATCAAAAATATCCTTGTAGTGACATCTTTCAAGATTTGTGTACAACTCTTCATGCTCGAACGATAATACGAGTAAACTCAATGAGTATCATACCGACAAGTAATCAACTGAGTATCTTACACATCGGTATCACTAGAGACCCTCTAATAAGAGACTGGCCAACTTGACAGTTGCAACCATGTTTCAGCAAAATTTT